CTCTTTTCATCAAAACCAACTTCGAGCAAGACTGTTGTTCTTTTCATTGGAAGCCAAGCAAGTTCATTCAGATTTGACTAGTAATTCTATACGATGGATGTAGAGCAACATTCACTGGAATTGGTTTGACCTATCACTTTAGTAATAATCTAAACAAATGACACTAAGAAGACCATATTTCTCATTACAGCAATGGACATGTCGCATTCGACTCATTTGCACGAGCGTTTAATCAATTGAGCGATGATGAACGTTTACCACTCGACAGAAGATTATTTGAACGAATCTTTATTATTTATGAATTGATTGAATTCCAATTATTTATGGGAACCGGAGAAAAATTCATGAATCAGTGCTCGGCTTTTTTTCCACGCAACATTTTTACAGAAATCGACGATTTCATCATGGTTAATTATGATCGTTTTTATAAAAACTTCATGGAATTTTGGTCGTTACATAGTACATTTCATCCTTGCAAGTTAAGTGCACAAGACTCGAACAATGAAGATTTATGTTCCGCAGCTATTATCTGTGATGGGCATATGAAAATCCGTCGACGTCTATGTGCAAATACAAATGTTCCATTATCTGTACCTGCTCATTTTATTGATATATTCAAACCATTAATAGTTGGGTGTAGTCACACACCATGTATGAATGAAGCATTGTGTAGCCAATGTAAAAACAACAATGTGATTTTACAAAAATCGACGTCACGTGCTGCTAACAAAAGACGGGAAGTTATCAATCAGCGATCAAAACCTCTGGAAAGCAATCATAAAAATGAAATGGCGGAAGTGAGTAGAAAAGATTAAACTAATCAAGACATACAGAATGTCTTAAAAGATCAAATAATTTCAAACTGGTCTTGTCAGAAGAATGTAATCTCGTATTAGATCTCGAACCACATCATCTGATCATAACGCTTTTCTTCCGTACCACGAAAATTCAGAAGATAGTTTTTAATTGCAGCTTACATGCAATGTACACAAGGAAGACATTATGATCGATGATTCAATACGAGCTTGTGGGATACTTGTGCTAGCAACCAATTGTCAAGTCATTGTAGGTTTTGAAGAAATATTAAGATCTGAATCTCGCAAACAAATCATACAAGCTATATCAAATTTATATACCATTGCCCCAATGTTAACAAGAATTTTCATATATGATTCTGGTTGCTTGTTAGCAAAATCTGTTCGAGCTACTTTAGCTAATGAATCAGTATCAAACAAATGTAACACTTATCCTGGCATCAAAGCTCTAACAGAAATTCGATTCTTTGTTGATCGCTTCCACCTATCAAATCACCGCGATGTACGTACTAATTACCGATGTTGGCATGAATATAATTTCATATTATTTAGAAATACTGCCACACGCATCTTAACCTCGATTCAGATGATACACTGAAGGATATTAATAGCAGTTCTTGCGAGCAAATTAATTCGTGGATTAAATCGTATTCTCATATGTTGTCCAACATGAATGAATATCGTTTTGCTGCTGTCCTCCTAGTACTCTTTCACCTACGCAATTGTTCGCACACTAAGTTATCCAATAGACTAGTTGATGTGAAGAAAACACTGGTTGGTCAACAGTTTTCTTCCCACGAACCATGGTTTCTTTTCACCCTTATGTTTAGCTTCAAAATACAAACGCGTTTGATGCATCAACGTTACCAGCACCGAATCCCAAAGTACTTCAACTACCAAAAAAGCTTCGTAATACTTGATTTCACTGAAATATTTCCTGCTACACCAATGTATTTATTCCATAATTGACATGTTTTTTGTATATACAATACTTAGCACCATGCATTAAACTATCTCTTAAAATAAAGCCTGCATTATGACCAAGAAGAAACTGAGCATAGCAAAACAGTATTTTAACCTGTTTTCATTCCCTAGTAGCAATGCACCAATCCCTATTCCAAACAACCCGATACCAATTCTAGAATCGGAA